GGTAGTCAAATATGTCAAAACAAGTAACAGTACACCTGCTTTTAGGCTGAATATCAAGAAATTTAGAGCAGGTTTTAAACTATTGAACTTAATTGTTTATTTGATTGCTGGGAGGCAAAGAAAATACATTTAGATTGATATGGTCCTAAGAAGATTTTTGTATAGAGCAAACGTGATGTACATTGAGTGCTCGAAATAACCAGTACGTCAGTTGTAGTCATGTTATGGGTGGGGAGTCTCTGATTCCTCGGAGTCTATGAACCTATTTGTACTGAACTATATGGGTAAACTCGTAATATCTATTGGAGTATTCAACATTTTTTTCTCCTAGCAGTATCAAAGTTATCAGCCAGTGGATAACTTACAAGGAGTTAAGAAAATTGTCATTTAGCAAGGGGATTATCATTTTCATTCAACACAATACTCATAACTGCACGTATTCCAACTTTTTTTTGGTTTTCTGCATGTAACTGCAATTGCCACATCTTCGATGTGAACATACAACTTAAAGAGAGTAAATAAAATTGTCAAGTGGCAAGGGGGTTATCTTCATTCAACACAATACTCATAACTGCAAGTATTCTATCATTTTTTTTTTATTTTCTGCGTGTGACAATTTTGACATTTTCAATCTGAGCGTACAACATTGTAGCTTTCCTTAGTGTGGTATCAATGTTTAGCCTAGTGGAGAATTTGCTGAACATTTGTATTTTGACTGAATTGCAATTAATAGCCAAATGCATGTTCCAAGCCAGTTGAAACGTATAAATAAATTGGAACATGTGTTTTAAAGGCATCCACGGTTGAGTGTCAATCGATACCCTCGATTGATACTTGATCAGTGCTTCAGTTGACACTCAATCGGCACTCCATCGACATCTCGGTCAACAGTCAGTTGAGAGTCGACCAAATTTTCAATCAATTCATGTGAGTCAGTCGACACTTGACCGACTGTCAACAGAGATGTTGATTGAGTGTCAATTGAGTGTCAACTGAAGCGTCAATTAAGTGTTGATCGACACTCTACTGCAGATGCCTTTCGTACACATGATCCAATAATTCAAAGAAAATAAAACAACTATGGCAAAAACAGCAAATGTGCTTTCTTGGTGGCTGTTGTTGTTCACAGCAAGCAATATTGGTCAATGACCTAGTACATTTCAAACAACCATCAAGCAACCAAGTGACTTTCCTTTTAATCCTTGTCTCACATTAGAAAACCCAGATGTCTGTGCATGCACTGTGCAATGCAGAGGGAAGCATTAGTGGATTTTCAAGGATAGAAACAAGGAGTCAACGACAACAGAAGGCATTAAGAGAACATACAGCAAGCAATGCTCTTCCCGAAAAAGGGAAATCTGCTAGTTTTACTTTCAGCAATTACTTTATGTCAGTTGTAAAGAGTGTCATGCCCCTTCCTGAACTTGACTGGGCAGACCCAAATGAGGTGTGGGCGATAATGCTTCAGAAAGATAGAAAATACTACAGGGACCCATTGTACTTTAGAAGACACTCATTTCTCCAGCCAAGAATGCGGTCAATTCTTCTGGACTGGCTAACAGAGGTGGGTATCTAAAACTTTTCTTGGAAAATACCATTGTGTTTTAAAAACTAGGGGATTGTATAAGTAGTAGCTACAAGGCTTTCAGTTCAGTGGACANCCCCAACTACTCACAACAACAGTTTGTTCAAGTTACACAGGTATGCATTCGTGTTGTCTGTGTAGTTGCACATGCCTTTGCAGTGCTGCTTATGGCAACCACGAATACCTGTTATAGTTAATTGTCATTATGTGTACTGGTATCTCTCATTCGATGGGATTATGTGTACTAAAGGCATCCGCAGTCAAGAGTCCATCGATAATCTTGATCAACACTCAATCAACGTCTCAACTGATTCTCAGTCAACACTAGACCAACAATTGATTGACATCTTAATTGACACTTATCAGCAGTCGGTCAGTAGTTGGCCGAGTGTGGACTGACTATCAATTGAGTGTTGATCAAGGTGTCGATCTATTGTCGGTCAAGTGTAGACTGAGTATTCATTGGGATGTCGATTGAGTGTGGATTGAGGGTTGATTGATCAACACTTGACTGCAGATGCGTTTAGTACACATGATCCATAAAGCTGTATCAGAATTATGATAAATGGTTCCACAAATACCCAAACCCACCTCAAAAAGGTTGTCTGCAGCCTGACGGACATCTTTTCTTTTTTTGATGCCTTGCTCAATTTTAAGCACAGTACCTAGATGTGTTCTGGTGGTTTCTCTTCTGGTTTAGCCAAGGGTGATTGTTAACTGGAAAAGCAATGTTAATAACTGAGAACGTGTTTCAATTTAGGCTTAAAGGATAAACATTTCCTTCTTTGATTTTGCAGCTGTTAGATCTGTGCATACTGGATGTAGGTTCTCTGCAGTTCTCATATAGCATCTTAGCAGCATCAGCTCTCTGCCACATGCTTCCTGGCATTAATGTTGATCAAGTCACAGGTAAGTAGAGAACAACAGAACTGTGTGCAAGTAACAAAGTGGGGAAGACAAAGTTTTGAGGATCCCCATAGTTAATTTACTTAGTACTGATTATGTTCCGCCTCTTCTGCAAACCTTGTGTTACAGCTGGGGCGGATCATGTGTACTAAAGGCATCCACAGTTGAGTGTNGTGCTGCTTATGGCAACCATGAACACCTGCTATAGCTTAAATGTCAGTAAGTGTACTGGTATCTCTCATTCGATGGGATTATGTGTACTAAAGGCATCCGCAGTCGAGAGTCCATCGATAATCTCGATCAACACTCAATCAACGTCTCGATTGACTCTCAGTCAACACTAGACCAACAATTGATTGACATCTTGATTGACACTTATCAGCAGTCGGTCAGTAGTTGGCCGAGTGTTGACTGACTATCAATTGAGTGTTGATCAAGGTGTCGATCGATTGTCGGTCAAGTGTAGACTGAGTATTCATTGGGATGTCGATTGAGTGTGGATTGAGGGTTGATTGATCAACACTCGACTGCAGATGCGTTTAGTACACATGATCCATAAAGCTGTATCAGAATTATGATATATGGTTCCACAAATACCCAAACCCACCTCAAAAAGGTTGTCTGCAGCCTGACAGACATCTTTTCTTTTTTTGATCCCTTGCTCAATTTTAAGCACAGTACCTAGACGTGTTCTGGTGGTTTTTCTTCTGGTTTAGCCAAGGGTGAATGTTAATTGGAAAAGCAGTGTTAATAACTGAGAACGTATTTCAATTTAGGCTTAAAGGATAAATGTTTCCTTCCTTGATTTTGCAGCTGTTAGATCTGTGCATACTGGATGTAGGTTCTCTGCAGTTCTCATATAGCATCTTAGCAGCATCAGCTCTCTGCCACATGCTTCCTGGCATTAATGTTGAACAAGTCACAGGTAAGTAGAGAACAACAAAACCATGTGCAAGTAACAAAGTGGGGAAGACAAAGTTTTGAGGATCCCCATAGTTTATTTACTTAGTACTGATTATGTTCGGCCTCTTCTGCAAACCTTGTGTTACAGCTGGGGCGGATCATGTGTACTAAAGGCATCTGCAGTTGAGTGTGATCGATACTCAATCGACACTCCATTGACATCTTGGTCGACAGTTGCCTAATTTTCCATCAATTCATATGAGTCAGTCACCACTTGGCTGACTATTGACCAGCTGTTGATCAAGTTTCAATGGAGGGCTGACCAAGTATTGATCGGGATGTCAATCAAGTATTGATCAAGATGTTGATCGAGAGTATCGATCGACACTCGACCACAGATGCCTTTAGTACACATGATCCATTGGGGCTACCTTAAGTTAGCAGTTTGCCAGCACCAGTTAGCATACAGTATATAATGAATACTGCCATGTGACAAGCAGCATGGTGAAAGTCCAGTGCTCAGTCCATCAATACAGCTTAGCTTAAGGACACCCACCAATCCAACTTTGCTTTGCAGTCAGTTCCACTCCATGTCCTGCCATGCACATGACTTGATTACATGATGTGAATTGGTAGAGAAGATGTGCAGTATTCAAAGCCACTATTGACCTGTTCGTGACACCTTGTATAAAATCAACTTCAAACTTGAAGTTTGAGAAGTTTGACAAAAGTTTGTTAATCTTTTTTATATTATGGGCTATAGCTTAAAGAATGCCAGAAATGGAAAAAGCATGTGGAAAATATCAAAATGGCCAAGTTTCAGGCCCCTGACTTTCACAAACTTTAGAGGATTTCTATGGAAAATGATCTTCTTAATTTGTCAAAAATTCAAACCATCATAAAATCTCATTCTTTAAATGCTTTTTCCATTTCTGGCATTCTTTAAGTTGTTGCCCATAATTTTATGAAAAGTAGGTCATGTGATGGCCTAGCTGCAAAGGCCCTTTTGCTATGGGCTAATCTCAGGACATTGCATGGCCCACAGAGATGGCAACCAGATGCTGATGCTCCAGTCTGTTGTAGGTCACCCTCACAATCTTCTCCTAGCCCTTCTTATCTGCTGTGATTAACTAAACCTGCTGTTGAGATATTCACTCACAACCCTGACCAGGGCTCTGTATTGAGTACTTGCCGCTGGAACCAGCTGAACCTGGGTTTCATGTGGGCAGGGTCTACACTTCCTAACATACATGTACATGTACATTTAGCACCATGTAAACAACACAAAGGGACCAGAACGTCCACTCTGACCTTCGTATCGAGAATCTGATGCATTTACTTTTTATGTCAGTGAACCAGTGCACATCGGGAATAATAAAAAAAGTCTCATTACATTCACTTCAGGTCACACCTGGGAGGAGCTTTTCCCATGTATCCAGTGGATGAAATCTTTTGCTCATGTCACCATAGAGAAGGGACCTGCAACCCTTAGAAGTTTTGAACAAGTTCCACGTGAAGACGCTCACAACATCCAAACTCATGCAGTTGACTTAGCATCCTTGGTAAGTTAAGTTTCTATTGTTTCTTAGGTTTGCAGGGACTGTATTGGGATTGTACAGGGGAAAATATACGTGCATTGTAGATATCACTTGGTATACTATTTCACAAGTGCAAGCCTTATAAATTGTTGTGGGCCAGGGTGTCGATGACGACTCTACACCAAGTTAATAATTAGTCATTCTTAAATCAGCATATTTCCTGACGATGTACTTCTGGATGAAGTATAACCAAGCAAAGATGTTGATTAAGGAGTGGGAGCAGGGGGGGACTTCTTTGTTGTTCTGTCATTATGTTGTGGGGCTACAGTGCAGGTTATTATTAAGTCCATGTAATAAATTATGATGTTAAATGAAAAAGTTGCTTTTTACTAGGAACACAACAGGAAATTATCCCAAAATAATATAGTAACTATAAAAGAAAGACATACATACTTATCACAAACAAAATGCTCTGTTTTTATTTTAGGACAAAGCTCAAGCTCTTCAAAGCAGTTCTTGCTCTGCAGCAACAGAAAACAGGTCTACATCTCCAGTTGTAGAACCATTCAACCCTTTGACTCCACCTAGTAGTACAAAAAAACCTGCTGTGCTAATGATCGATTGAAACAAACTTAATTCAGTCAAAGACGTTTCAGCCTAGAAAACATGCCTATCTCTCCAGTGCAGCATTTGTTACACCCTTGAGGAAGGGTTCATTATTTCCCAACATGCACAATGTCTGTGTCATGTTTCTCGGTGGTTTTTACTCGAAACTAATTAAATAATTATTCATGGCCACTGTGCCTTGTTCTTACATCACTGTGTTAGTTTTCATTGGGGATTATAGGAGTGACTCACTGAAAGAGAGAGATGCATTTTCTTTGGCTACAAAAAATTAATCTGTTTCTTATGCACGTTTTTCGTATTAGGATCACATTGTTCTCCAGAGAAAATTAAACAATGTGAATAGGCCAATTTTTGATATATTGAATTCCTAACTTGGCTCTGAGGCTTAGTGGAATGAAATAATGTGATTTCTTCTGTTTTATTCTCCCAGTCTCAGAGCAAGTTAGAATTTTTAACGTATTTAAATTGGCCTATTGCAACACAGCTCATTTTATTACCTCATCAGACATTACATTTTAAAAGTTTTGACATTGATTGTTTTTATGTTAAGAGAAGTAATTATGTAACTTTTTTTACGAAATATGTGAATACAACTAAAAGATTTTTTAGAGAAATCAAATAATGATACTTTTTTAATATTTTTGAGAAAGTCTTAAGACATGTTAAAAAGTTTTCAAGCAGTCGCTTGTTCTTAAACTACTCAGAAAATCATTCATTCAAGCAGTGCACACAGAGACTATCATAGAAGTACATGTATGTAGATAGACTATTAGGAAATGGGCATTGTTACTAAGCTAAGAACATTTGCAAGTGGTTTTACTTTGAGGTGAATTTTACAGAGTGCATGACTTTGAAGGCTTTGTGAAGACAAAGCTATTGACAGTGTCATCTCACACAGAAAAAAACAACTGGAACTCTTTTTGTGTGTACATTCTCAATCAAATTTCCCAAGGAAAAATGATTGCTACATAGAAATGAAATTCTGGTACAGTGTGGTAGTGTTTTAGCCAAATGATTGCATCATGCAGTTGTCTGCAAACTATTGGCATGTCAGATACCTCCTGACAAAGTGCTACAAAATTAGTTTCTAGGTTCAAAGGAATTACTAGTCCTGAATTGTGTTTTGCATCAAACTTCTACAACATTTATTCTTTCCTCTGTTAAAAAGAGTGACATGTAGGGTAGGAATTGCCTAGAGTATACACATTACTATCATTTCACATTAAGTTGCCATTACTTGTGTACATAGTCCCTTAAAGCTTGTAAATGCTTACAGAGTGTAATTATGTAGGTAGGCTATTGAAATTTTTACAGAAATTATTTCAGGGAAAAAACTTAAGGAACAGCAATTTGTGAATTTTTACCAGATAAAATTCAAGTTTGTATGAAAAGTACTCAATAAAGTTTGTTAGGAAAGACTTAATGGCCTGGTTGTCATTCATCAATTAATACGTCAGGGTACACCTAAACCTTGTTAGGAAAGACTTAATGGCCTGGTTGTCATTCATCAATTAATACGTCAGGGTACACCTAAACCTTGTCTGGGACAAGTAGAAACTTGATGACACGAGGACAAGCAAATCTTTGACAAGACTTGTTTGAGGGACACGCTTATTTCTGGTCTCCTACAAATGCTAATAAAAAATATGTAAACAACTTTGCCAGCATATAAATTTATCCACCGACAGAAAAGGAAGGTTCTTACTTGACCACGAAAATGGAACCATTCACCATTTTTCAGTCATGCTTTGTTTCCATACAAATGCTTTTAGGGCTTTGTACCTTAAGAAATGGGTTGGAAAAGCACTAGGATTTTAAAGAACCAAGTCCATTCTGAATGTTTTCCAATGGACAAGTGAATCATTAACTTTTATCTCTCACTGAATTACTTTCCCACTTACTTTATCACCAGTCAAAGTATAGGCCCTTTCTCAGGAGGGGAGTTACGACGCAAAAGTAATAAGATCGCCGCAAAATGTAATAACATCGACGGGAAAAGTGTTCAACGCAAAATGCAATAACTTTTCAAAGCAAAATGTACTTTTTTAACGCGTGATGTAATAACGCAAAATGTAATGCAAGGCAACACGAAGTCAAAGTCTTAAATGAGAGGTCTACTGTAAAAATGCTCATGGCACATGTATTCAAGCAGGTTATTGGTGGGGATGGACTGAGGCTACAGAGACGGGGGGTCATCACTGAGAAATAGTACATTTTGGGAGGTGGCGCTGCAACCTGTTTTGGTAAACAAGGGTTATTTTGTAGTAAAAAATACTGAAAATGTCCCAGTCCACCCCTTCCAAAAAAAACCGAGTTTCGTTTATTTTTTTTAAACGGAGCCATTATGTATCACTATGCAATTTTCGTTGAAGATTTGCTTCACGGTGGGAAGGGAGGGTTAATTTAAAGAAAAGAACAGGTAAGTACAAACGAAACAATGACACCCATTTATTAACTTCTCAATAGTGAACTCAACAATAACCTTCGTTTGTTGGCACTTCTCATTCGGGTATGTCTATTTGTGAACTCACCATTCGATCCTCTTTACAGCATTGAAACAGTTTTTGTTAACTTTTGCCCCTAATTCGCTCACTGATTTAATATTTCACCAGCCGATGACAAATATTCTCTGGAAATTACTTTTCCAACCAACATTACTTTTTTAAAAAAAAATTGAGGATAAAGCCTAGAACTGGGGAAAATGCCTCGTCTGGCCTCTTGCTAGTTACGGCCCTGCTTTTAAGAGTTGAGAGCAAAACCTGAAGACATGTTATTCAATTCACGTAATCTACGTCGGATAAACTTAACTGATTTCGAAGTATCATACATGTCATTGGAGAGCTATTACATTTTGCGTTATTACAGTTATGCGTTAGAAACTTATTACATTTTGCGTTACAATATACAATCTTTGTTTAAACAGGATATATTAATGAGCCTAAAGTGAAGGCTCATTACAAAAATGTACGTGTAACTATTATACTAATAAATATACACATTCCTAAGATATAAGATAGAAAAAATAAGTATCTAAGCTATTACAACTAAGCAATCAACTAGAACCGGAGAATGCAACGACCTGGCTGAGCTTAAGTTCTTTGAGCTTGGCAACGAAATTCTTGAGATCGGGTCAGTTGCCTCCCTGACATGAGAAGGTAGATTGTCCCAGAGTCGGCATGCAATGTAAGAAAACGATTTGTGCCTGAAACTGGTATTCGTGGCCGGCTGATTGAGTCTGCTACCATTTCAACAAAGATCATAGGCACAGTTTTTCAAACCGAACATGTTACTTATATAATTAGGATAACTTTTTAACATTTTTAACGGCGTTGAATACTTTATTACATTTCGCGTCGATGTTATTACATTTTGCGTTAGTATTACATTTTCGCAATTCGGCGATTGTTATTACATTTTGCAGCGTAACAGTGATGTTTCATTACAGGATTCTTCTGTCTGGAGCTTGACTAAAGAGACATGAAAAGTAGCTGAAATCAATTTCAAAACATTTTATTATTAACAGTTATTTATAAAGTTGTAAATTGATGCCAAAGCTCTAATGCATGGGCACTTGTTTTGGAGTGTAGAGTGATTTTACAAAAATTTATTGCTTTTAATTAATTTTACATTGTTTTCACCATGTTGCCGTCGTTTCCTAAATCTTGTGTTCAGAGTTTAACATGCCAGATTCCAGTCCTCCAGCATTGTCACTTTTAGGATTGCCATATCCACCACCGCCGGGTGTCTGGACTTTAATATGGTCCTGCACATTAAAAACACACATTAAATGACTTCTGTTACAACACATGTACCTCAACAATTAAATGCCCGGCTACTGAATGCCTGGCTACAGGACTATAAGGTGTGGGTTCAAACAATTCTGGGCCAATTTGCACAGAGAGGAACGGGCAACATTCGAACGATGAACACTTAACAACTTCTGTGCATTTTTTCATGATTCATTCAGTGAGGGCCATTCAAATCAACGGAAGAATTAGCAATTTTATGTTGTAAAAATGCTCATACTCTTTTCTCATTTGAAAAGCCTTCATTAGGTAATAACAAAATGCACACAAACGTGAAGTCTTCATGAATGGTTTGGGAGCTTTCACAACAATAGGCAAGAGCGGAGAAGAAGATAGCCTCCTATACGCAGACGTTCTTTTGGCTCGTCATGCAATCTTCCTCTCCCCTTCCTTGTGTTAAGCCCACAGAGCGCCTGCATAAAGCCAAGGAGAAGGAGGCTCAGTTGATGATCGAAATACTCGTGGCTAGTATTACAGAAATATTTTCTATTTTATTTATACAAAGTTACAAAATATTCTGAGTGCCTCACCCCAGCATTCACAGTGACAGTGGCTTTTGACCCAAGGTTAATTATTTTTCCACTGTTTTGTATCAGAAGATTAAGTCCTAGCGATCCAGGTCTTCCTCCTGTGATGTTAAACATAACTTGAAGATGAATATTAAATATATATTAAATTACGAGTCAGCCTCAACAGCTTCGTATGTATTAAGGCTCCTAAGCCTGCTAACATGAAGGAACTAAGACTTCCTATGCCACTTGTGAGGTTTATTTGTTATCCATCACGTTATTTGTGCCTCATCAGTTCAACAGGTTGATCTAACTACTTCTTCAGCCCAGTGGAACGTACTGATGACAATAGATATAATCACGTCTACATAATAAAACAATGAAAATTCTGAAAACAGTGGTATATCTCAATGTTCAAAATGACATGCTTTACACGTATAATGATCTTAAAATGAGATCGTGGTAGGTCACCAAAATTTATGAGAAGAAAAACTCAGAAGCACTGTGCCATTCACTGATGTACAACTGTTTATAGAGATTTGTTTTTGCGGTAATTTATGGAACAGGGGTATTCAATGGATGATATTGTCAAAGAGCATTAATGTTTGTTCAGCTGTTCTTTTTTCTTTTAACAGATCAAGGCCTGAGAGTTAGCCTTAATGTCTTTCCCATCTACAAAACAAAAACAAAAACAAAAACAATCATGAACATTTTTAGCACTTCTTGTTTACCTTGGAGTCCGTAAGGTTGAAAGGCTGATCTCCTTTCACATAAAACTGACAAAACTTGTGTTCTTCTAAACAGCAGCTCCCGAATCACCCCATCCCCTCCCTTGTGAAAACCATCACCCCCAGTGCCAGGGTTGAGATGAAAGCGAAGTAGAATAACAGGATACCTGTAGAGAAGATCACAAAATACTCACTAATTAGTGACAATGACATACTGACTAAGCTAAAGAGCATTTTTATGGGAACCATACTTGTATTAGGTAATGTTTGCATAAGATCATACCCCAGGGGGCTACGGTACAAAGTTCTTTATGCGGAGGCACCGCCCCGAGGTCCAACCCCTTACCCGTTTATATACCATTCAGACAGAAAAGGTTCCCCTTTCACATACCTACTTAAGAACACTGTAACTGCCCCCTCGTATGAATAAATCTCCAAAAGGGAAGTCTTCTTGTCATTTTCATGTAGTGCATAATAACTTTAGTAATACAGCCATAAGGTGCGTCTGTTCGAAATATTTTAATTTGAGGCCCTTTTTAATTCCTAAATAACAGACTTCCCTACCCTTTCACATACCTCAACTTGTGAAATCCCTCTCCTTTTATATAACTGAAGCCTGAAAAAGGTATCCCTTTCGGGCGGGGCCTCCCCGTGTAGGCTATCATTATAGGACCTTATAGAGAGTACTCCCACGATCATATTAACTGATTTGCCAGGATGGTGTTTGAGAACGCCAACATGGCACCTGCAGAGATCAGTTATTGCCAATTCTGGCCGAAGGTATCGCTTGAGTTATTCATTGAGAGTTTGATGTTATGTTTGCCAGATGCATACACACCTTCGTTCTATAATCTCTGGGTCTGTTATCCGAGTGTTTGTCATGTGGCTGTGGACACCGCTGCGTCCCTCCCATGTGGGACCCTAAACATAAAAAAAATGTCAATGTTTTAAGGTTGAATGGGAATATCATGGTAAACACCTACAACTACAACCGTGGTAAAAAAAAAAAACACCCACACCGTCAGTCTTTTGCTCAGTGATAACAGGGTTAGTTAACGAACCACACTGCTATCACCAAACTACTAGGAAATTAACGTGATTACTCTTGCCTTTAAATATTTTTGTGCAGTCGACTCCCGATAACTCGAATTAATCCTCGCGCTAACTCGAACCAAAATCGATTTTCCCTGGATTTCCGTCATACGTTTACTGTAATTTTACCCTCGGTAACTCGAACCCTCGATAACTCGAACCTGCCGCTAACTCGAAGCAATTTACGTTTCCCTTCAGGTCACTTTCTATAAAATTTTACCCTCGATAACTCGAACCATGTCTGTCAATACGTGACTAGTCAAAACAATCAGTAAACAGTAGTCAAAAACATTAAATTCAAGTTCCGATTATACAGTAATTTAGAGATGTATTGTTTTATTTTCACTCAAATTCTCTATTCTGTAATTAAATTTGATTAAAATGTACACTACATGAATAGAAAAACATTAAACAACGTTTTTTTCCTCATTTCCAGTCATTTGTTGTTAATTCTCCATAACTCGAACTCCCGATATCGGGAGTCGACTGTAATCATTGTTTGTCGAACCAAAAGGTTCATTTTATACGACCAAATGGAAATACCAGCTGGGAAAATGTTCGGCTCAAGGTCATGGTGTACGGTATCTAGATGGAGTGCAATTCTTTTCTGAAGTCATTAAATGGTCCAACAAAGAAAATGGCACCTCCTTCTCGCCATCTCCATTTGAAATACTGTTTGGTTTAGAGCCAAAGTCTTATCCTCAAGGCGCAAATAAGTCGTTAAAAAATATTAACTTCACACTGTTATTTACCAAGTATTATTTATATACACAAAAACTACTTAAGAAGGAAATAAACTTGAAAGAATTCATTAGAAAGCTCACTTCTAAACTTCAAATTGAAACCCTTGCCCCTCTTTAAATCAACGCAGGAGGTGTTATGATATGCGGTAAACAAACTAGAGCATCCTTTCTTTTTCGTTGTTTTGTTCTGTTTTGTGTTGCCCATATTAAGAATATATTAAGGAATAAGTGAAATAAAATACAGCTAGAGAAATCATATATTCAAAATACGGTTTAAGTTGATTATAAGTACCGTTGTCGGCTAAAGTGCAAGAAATTAGATAAGTAGCATATTTTATAATTGTAAACACCGTTTATCTGTATTGTTTACTAGGGCAACTTTACTGTAATTAGTGTAAGTGTAGGTTACTGTAATTCAATCATTGTAAGTAGAGTTAGTTTTTTTCTTTTTGTTTAGTGTATCTTTGTATGTTGTTACCATTCCAATAAAATTTAAAACAAATCTAGTTGGAGTGCAGCAAGACGTGCGCTAAGCACTAGGAGCAGAGCTAAATATTTGTGATATATGGCCGTACTTACTGCTCCTGATCCCCCAGCAACTGTCTCGTAATAACCACAACCTTCATCACCGAATGTGATGTTGTTCATACACCCCTACAATAGAAAATACAGTTGAGACTCACCATCTTGGTGTAACGCTTGGACAGAGAAAAATGTTCTGACTCGTGGATTTGGGTATTCACTGTTGAACATTTTAGTAATATTGCCTGTCCTGGCAAAAAACTATGACTATCCTTAAGAATGAATGAGATCTTTAGAGATCTGACCAAGATCTGGGAAGTATTCATTAAGGATCTTTGTTAGACTGCTAAGCAATGATTAAAGCAAAGATCTTCAAATGATCTGTGAAGATTCGCCACAATGTTTGAGAAAATCCTTCCTTCTTTTGGCAAGATCCATGAAGACCCTTGAAGATCCTGGGCAAGAACTTTAAAGATCCTTGCCATAAAATGGCCACAAAGATCTTTGGAGATCCCTGAAGATCCTGCAAAGATTTTGTTAACCAGGGAGACTGCTTGGATAATGTTAACGTTTAATAAATATCAAGCTTAAACTCATAAAGCAGCTTATTTTGAGCACCTGAGAGGCAGCACAGACACCAAAAGCCTTCAGAACAACATCTACAATCCTCTGAGTGGTCAGCACACTCCCGCCAACAACTGCTGCAGAAGGTGATGGATCCAGCAGACTTCCATGAGGAATATGAAGTTTCACTGGCACTAGACAACCCTGAGAAGATATCGATCAAGACACTGCAACTACTGGAGGACACATTTTCATGTTAAATTAAATTTGTTAAAATCACTGGCTCCAGCTGATGTTTTATTATACCTGATTGAGAGGAATATCGTACTTGACCATGCTCCGCAGGCAGTATATCAGAGCTGAGAGAGCAACAGCACGGGGTGCATTACAGTTACCATAGGACTCATATCCAGTTCCAGCAAAATCAAATACTGCGCTACCCTGCAAACAAAAACGTAGATTGATAAGTAGATTATTTTGATATGGATGACAATGGCTGCAATAATGTGACTTATTTCTTTTATTTTAACAAACTGAACCGAAGTAGGTTGCAAGCTGCTTTGCAACTTCATTTGATCTGGCTACTGTAAAATCTACAACCTTTCTTCTGTTAACCTCTGTCGGCAAGTGACAGCTGCTAATATTGATTGAACTTGATGGCGATGTCATTGTTAACAATGGTCGAAAGTTGTCGAAGAGCGTTTTTTTCTGCATGGCCCAGTCGCTAAGTACGACTGGTATTTGCTATTTGTGCTCTCTTTCTATCTGAAAATATTAAACCTGAAATAAGTTTATTTTCTCTTATATACGAAAATTTAAAGATTGATAAAGATTGATGTTGTTGGTGTCTTTGTAAAGATGATGGTGCAACAGTGACTGGACATACATAAATAATTTTGTTAAAATTTGACCACAAACAAGACTAACCATGCTCTGGTTGGGGAGTCTTGTACTTCTTTACTAAGTGAATACCTTGAAGTCTTGAAATGGTTTACCTTGTTTTCATCGATGGAGACTGTGAGATTGATTGGCGTTCCATCGTCCATATGGTCTACAGCTTGTAACACTGACTTTCCTGTCCGTTCCTGTGAGGATGATAGAGGACATAATACAAGAAAGGGGTTCACAACAACTATATTCACTTGAAACATTTGAAAAATTAATAATGGGGAGAAATTTAAACTTCATTTTGTAATAAACAATAAATTATGTCAATGTATCTACACAACTAGTCCCAGATACCACCCAGATACCGACTGGATGCTCTAACCACTGAGTTACAGAGGGACTCTAGATGAGCAAAGCCATTTTACTAGGTTCATATGTGACACGCCAAGAGAATCACTATTGATAATAGATAAGAATCATAGTCATTCAAACTGAAATCCAAAACTGAAGAACTGATGCATTTCTTTAAACCAATAGAAAGCAGCTTCGCCAGAAGGAGACAACAAAATTCATACCTTTGTTTTGAGGGCAATTTCTGTTAACATTTCTCTAACGGCCAACTCTGCATTTTGCTGAAGGACATAATTTCAATAGGATATCATCAGTTTCATTTAATACCGTCATGTATTGTGCAGTCAACTCATGGAGGTTAAAGGAAAACTCTTTTTTACCTGAATGTATTCCATGTAAGCTTGCACAACAGGGAGACTATACTCATCAATCAATGCATTTATGAGGTTGATTCCCTGGATAATAATATCAGAATCATGAATTTAAATATAATGGTCAGAGTTCGGCAAGGTACACATGAACCATTGAAAGTGCCACCTAACCCGTGTTACATGATTGTTGCCATCTGCTTCTGTGTTGGTAAGAACTTGGATTTCATCAAGAGTATAAATATACATGAGAAAAGAGGTTTCAGGAAACCTACTCTTCAGTGCATTGCAATAAAAAGCTAGCAAAAGTAGAATGATTGGGGTAGTCACTACTGACAAACAATATTAATAACTCCTTAATAAAACTTATCAACACAAAACAGCAGGTTTATAGCAATATAAAATTAGGTGTTACATTAATTCGCTTTTTCGTAGTTCCTCTTTTTCATACCTCTGACAACACTTACCTTATGATTGGCAGCCACCTGTGCCTTTAGATCTGAGATGTTGTCCTGCACATTACGACTTCCACTACAGCCAGGGTTCTTAGCAGGCTCCAGGAGCATTTCTTTAAGAGCTAATAAACAACAATACATAATTTAATTTAAACAACACAAGGATAAAATAGCAATTGACAACAATTTACAAGTGTTTTCACATGACCTATGGATGTTACCTCCTTCTTGAAAGATTCCATTATCTACTAGTTTAAAAGACATAAAGACAGCTCCCTCGTCAAAGATGCTATGAGAATTTGGTGGCATTGAACCTGAAACACAAAACAAATCCTGTACTAAATATTAATCCAAAATATACTATAGGGCATACCCTGATGAAAATCCACTAGGAACTTTAAAGATATACATAAAGATCTTTGAAGATCCTGGCAGCAATCTTAACACGATCATCCTCTTTCAAAGACTTAAAGTTTGAGAGTCGTTGAAAGATCCCTGTCTTTAAGGATCAAAGATCTTGTTAGCTTTTTCACCAGGGTAATGAGAGTGTGGTGATGGAAAGCTTGTAGGAAAACGTGACCTGGGAGTCCTGGAAAAGTGATATATGCAATTAGTGCTGTCTCCTTAACCTTAGTATTTCCATCGTAAACAAAGATGTAACTTTCAGTAACAGTAGAGCAACTTTCATCTTTTACTAGGATCATGAACTGATATACCAGAAACGTCAAGACTCTGATCAGATAACTTACATTATCTTTGCAACAAAAGCATTGTGGACTGCTGTCAAACTAACACTCAGAAATAATTTTAAGGTAATTTACCAGGTGCTATTCCTCCAACATCTGCATGATGACCTCGACTTGCCACAAAAAAGACAGGTTTTGGTTGGCCAGGATAGAATACCTAATTAAAAACAAAATCATTGGTCACATTGGTTTCTGTCAATTAGTTTATTTCTAGGTTTAATAATTATTGCTAAGTAACCAATTTAATTAATTAATTCAATCCAATCTATTTCTTGTCTGTACTGTGCCTTGCTTACTTCCTTCATCCTCAGGACATGTGTGAATGTATTAGCAGAACACCTTGAGAGCGGTAGTCAGGGATAGCACACAGTGGAAACAGAATGTTACCACCCTATGCGTCTACTGGCACAAAGAACAGTGATGATGATCATGATGGCAGTATAAGAAGAATATCTGATTTACTTTTAGGAAATGAAGGGTTAGGTTAAAGGTCCTTGACAACTTACTGGGGTGATAACTGTCAGATCAGGAAGATGTGTCCCTCCGGCACTTGGGTGGTTACTAAGTAGGACATCACCTTCTTTCAAACTGTCACTTAGCTCTTCAATCTGCAAACAGAACTTGTCGTCAGGATTCACTTCAATTTACTGAACTAAATCTAGGAGTCAACCAGAACTGTTGCATGTGACAAGCAGGTTAGTAACGTACCTGATATTTCACTGTTTCTTGCATTGATCCAAGATGCATAGGCACATGAGGACCATTAGCCACGAGGCCACCACCAGGGCCAAACATGGCACAGGAGAAATCAAGCCTTTCCTTAACAAAAACACAGTTATACAGCACATGCATCTTACCGAAAGGGTAACTGCAACCAAATCTTATTTAAGGCTGGATCAGAGCTTTCTACAATATGCAGTAGAACACAAGCCACTTGTCCAGTGTTAGAAAAATGAGGAGTTACATTAAGATAAATATCAAGCTGATAAGCGATACCCTGTGCCCTCAGTACATCAAATCAGGGAGAAATGGGCACTATATTTTGACGAAGAAGGGAATGGTTCCACTTTTGAATAGCCTACAGGAAACTTAATGAACAAGGGCTTTTCTGCCTTTCAGCTCATGCAATGCACCGACAACCTTTCAGAGTCCTGAGAAAAGTTTTAAGGAGCAGTTCTTTTCTTTTCTTTTCTTTTCTTTTCTTTTCTTTTATTTTATTTTATTTTATTTTGCATGCTGGACATGGCCCATGACTGTTTGACTGTGGCAAGTGTATTGCTAGTAATGACAAGCCTTCTAATTTGTAAATATACCGTCCTATTTTACCAAGGTATATTTTTCAACGATATAAAGTGAATGTGAGTATAAGAGCAACTTGTCTAATAAAACTCATGTGATGGCACAACTTGATTACAAAGGGTTTGCAATGGAATATAAATCAGTGAATCTTCTTCCACAACCGCAAGCTACAGAAATGAGCATGAAGTGACACAGTATGGCACATTTTTGTTGGCAAGGCCAAGGGCTTACGCATATCATATTGATGGACTAATTAAGTTACTTATCTTGCCAATGGGTAATAAAAGGCAAAACTGTCTTTCAGTAAACAAGTTAAAAGTTATGTCAGCAATGACTTAATATGCATGTACCTTGATATTAGTAGAAATTGATGTCCTTTGAAGAACTCTATAGAAGGAGATAAATAACAAAAGTACATACTCAGTAAGACTAGAGTGTTTTCATTGTTCACCATCCTACTAATGAAATCAATAACTACACATTGGTATGTACCTTCCCATTTGGTCTGTTATGCTCATGAAGCGATGAGAAAATATAGAAAGCTGCAGATTTAAGAAAAATAAATCAGTGATCTCCATATAAAGCAAGGTAAACCATTCAAATACTTATAAATAAAACAAATAGGCACATGTTTGGTATGAGAGGAAATGTACTAAATTTTGTCAATCTAAGCTCCTCACTCACTTGTATGGCATCTAGATCTGTGGTAACTTGTTTTTTCCCTTTGTTTTTACCAATCTGCAAGACATTTGGCACCGTTAACATGAGGCACTGGGAGGCAAAAGAAACTTGCCATTAAATTTAAAACTAAGTAAAGAAGTGAAAGATCATTTGGGAATCAACTAACCTCAATTCTAATATCCCCAGATGTTGTAATATATGCTGTACATTGTGGTTCCACGAGGATGGTACTGTGAATAAATTAACAGTCATAAATAATGACTATTGTGCCCCAAGTGAATATCTTCAAAACAGAACACCAAGTTCCATCTTTAAGCTTCATATATTTGAAGAGTAAAAGAATAGATGCAGGAAAAAATATTATAGAGTACCAACAATATAATGTAGTAACAATACCTGTTTTGATCTATGATAATGGCAGGTCCCTCTATGGAATGCCCTGCAGCTAGATCATTCAGCAAATACACTCTGGTATCAAGAAAACCACCATCAAAGAAACACTTGGTGATCTAAATTCAAAACGGACTGCAGTTAACATAACCTCTACCTTTCTGGACAAGCACCTCTAACAGTTATTTAGAGATAACACTAGGAGTCTTTCACTTTACTGCTGCTTTTGAAAATCATCTTGCATGCTCACTTTTTTAATTGGAGGTAGAGCACTTGAATGAGTTGTTTTATGAATGACTGATGTTCTGGAATGTCCACATCCTCGTACTCGGATGTCATCAACCATAATGTCACGGTTGGGTATGGTGAAGCCAAACTCTTGCAAGTACCTTGCATTGAGAAGAAAATAGAAATGAAACACAGCACCAGTGACAATAGAGAAATTACAATTGGAAAAACTAAGCTTTATACAACAAAGGTTCTAAAGGAAAAGAGTGTCCTTAGCCTAGGCATGTATCAGGGTCAACTCCAGTTTCCGCTATGTTAGGGTGCCTACGATGGAAGTAATACATCTCTTTCTATTACCATCTGCCATCTGATGTTAGCCTATCACAATGATAATACCCAGCAGGTTGTTTGGCTGTTGTAACCCGATTTTGTCAGATGGACCCAGCCGTTTGCTAGTATCCATTCATACACCTCTGGACCTGCACAGAGAGTGACACTGTCTTGCCTACAGATGTATACGTAATGGAAGGATATAATGCGTAGGCTCAAACTTCTACATTGATCATCATATGCGACACTTTTGACATTGACTATACTAACGGCCGTATACAGGTCACACAGTATGTTACATAATTATAAACGTAGCAAGTCCTCTAGCTCCATACGTTCCCTGTTGTCTACATGGTTAGAGCATCCGACCAGTGGGCAGCAGGTCATATGTTTGACTCCCCTTGTTGTTACTTAGCAATTTACATGAAGTGTGAAGTCACTTTGCTTGCCACAGTCAGGAATTAGGAGCGCAAATTAAAGCACCAAATCGAAGAAAGGTGAACAGTGTTAAATTGTAATAACTTCAATTTCACACCAGTGTCATTTTGAAGCTAATCATAAATGTCTGCTCTGTAAAACAGGGTTCGTGCACTTTTTTGAAATAAAAATTAAAGGACTTTTCAAGGACAAGCTAATTTTTAAAAAATGCCATCCACTAAAGAAGCGCAGTAAAAACCCCCGTGTAAGAACCTAGGGATTTAAGAACCTTCAGGCAGAAATTTGTTTTTATATATACCCCAAAATATAAGAACCTGTTTAGCCAAACAAATTCCAGCAGGTTCTTATATGTGGGGTTTAACTATTTAATTTATATATTTTTTTACCAAAAACCAAAAAGGTGATCGAAAGTTTAGAAAATTGAATTGTATATATAATATATATCTAATTTTTTTGCAATTTCTATCAATTCAATTTGTTTCTGTTACAGCAGTATTTCCATATTGACAGTTCTTGATGGAAAGATACATTTTATATACAGTACTGTATCATTGATCAATTAATGTTGTTGGACTTTTGGCAACATGAGTACATTAATAAATATTTATGATGAAGAACAGACCAGATTTTATACTATTTTCTGATAATCAACAACAATGTCTACTCTGTAGAAATTAAGAACCTAATTAAGAACTTACTTAGCCTAAACTGTCAATAAGTACCCCATAATACAAGAAACTGTTTTGCCAAACTCTGAAGAAAGTAGGTTCTTACACGCGGGTTTTTACTGAATCACTTTTTTGATGCGACCCTAGATGCTCAGATTAAAGAGATATCTCCCAGATTTGATCAAGCGTAAGTCTTTTTTAGTTTATACACAATTTGGGCAATGTTTTTTCAAGCTCTTTGGCAGCTGCTTGTCCCTTCTACTCTCAAATTTCAAGGTTTTCAAGAAACAAATGTACTCTCCACAGACTTTCATTGCCTTAAATTGCGATTATCAAACTCAAGGCCTTTCGCGTTTCAGGTGAATGCAAAGCCCTCTTTTAGGAGAAAATGAAGAAACAAGACAAGTAATTAATACTAATACACTTTTTAACAATTACCTGTCTGTAAACACTTTTCCAAAGTCACCAAAAGAAGTACTCTCTCGCAGCTGTCAAGCAATGAAATCAGTACATAGTTTAAGAGGAATGGTTTTAGAATTTCCTGGCCCCAGCACGGTAGGAGCAAAATGAAATATACAACACATAGAACATTAGAATAAAGGTAATTAGACAATCTGTGTGAACAGTTTCGGCAAGAGACATGGTTATTTTGGAAAAAGACAGCATGGTTGCTTGGTGGTGTTCACGGCAAGTAGATTACCATCAAAAACACCTAAAGAAATGCCAATAAAGTGCATATTTGCTATCTCTAGAAATTACCTTCTCTGTTTTGCAAGGAGATACATTGCATATCAAAGCGCAGTCAGTTCCATCATATCTCATGTGCAGGAATACTTCAGTAGATATTTGAGTTCTGAGAGGCAAGAAGTTCACAATTACGAAGATCACATTCACTAGAAAAGCTTCAATGAAGACAGACCGACTGTAATAGATCCCATAGATTGGGAGACAATTTTGTCATTCTCAGCTGTCATGTTTATGCCTTACAATATTACTGTTAATGTCCCTGTTCTTTACCTCTCAACAAAACTCACTGAGTATAGCAAGCCACAGACGAAAGATGCGTTTACACTGAATTATAATGCTTTTATCGTTAGACATGTCTAATTGGTGTAACCAATAAAAAGGCGCCATGATGCAGATGAAGCTGTGATAAGACTACAAAACTAGACAATCTTTTGCAACACTTGACACTATAAAGCATTCAAGGATCTCACCCGATCTCTGCAGGTGCTAAGCATACTTTGACAGCATTGTAACATAGTTGAGTACAATAACTAACTGTTTCCAAGGTTCGCACATCGCGCTTCATTAACGGCGTTTTGCTACTTGTACCGTAAAACTCCCTCAATAGATATCCAGAGGGTTTCCTCATTGACCAATAAAAGTATCAGAAACTCACTCATCAAAGCCTTGCGTTTTGAGCTCCTTTTTGCACTGTTGAGTAAGGAGACCAATTCTTTCTTCTAGGTATTGGTACGAATCTACAATAACAAGGTATTGTACAAAAACTCTTTAAGCAAAGTCCAGAAGCAACAAAATTACTTTAGACAACTTTTGAACATTTTTGGTATTCACTGTGGGTTTACAGTTTGATTATGAAAAGCAGTCAGGCATTCCCTCACTACCATCTGACTGAAAACATATGCTAGGTAAGGTCTGCTGGCAAGAAATCGATCCTGATCTTTTGGCCTGCTTTTGTTTACAATCAATGCATTTTTGAAAAGATCCAAAGATTAATCGAAACTTGAAAGCTAGCCATTATAATTATAAATTATATTATTAGTCTATTACAATAATGTTCTTACCGTCTGTTGCGTCTATCAGGGCTATTACATCTCATCCTTGGAGACATTTGGGCAGTCACTGGGCCGGTGGCGAGGGAAAGTCGAAACTACAGGAGGAAAATTCAGTGCAGAACAGTTTGAGAGAATGTCAAGGGCTCCCCCTCAATCATTTTGATTATCCCTTAACCCCACGGACTGCCCCTGGGTCTCCGAGGATGATTGTATTAGAGGATGCTGCAACACCTGTTGGTGATGTAGCTGATAAAATAACAATTAGGCACCTTTGCTATAATCACAGGAACACGGCTCTTGAGCTTCATGCACAACATCTGCCAGGGCCAATCCAAAAGCAGAAAGGATTCCTGAATGGCTACCAAACAATAAGAAGGTTGTTTTATTCTCCACACTTAACAAAATTGAGGTAAAAAGTTACAAACTGCTTAACTACATACAAAAGCTATGTTTAATTACCGATGAATAAACACGGTTGACATTCCTAATGACTGAGCAATAGAACATGCATGCTGACCACCTGCACCACCAAAACATGCAAGAACATGTCGAGCAGTGTTGTGTCCTCTGGCCTGCGTCAAAGCTCTAATGGGTCGGCACATTGTCTCGTTAGCAACTGTAACAAAGCCCATGGCCACTTCTTCAACACTCAGTGCATCTTTTCTGTTTTCATTGCTTTGAGTGGCCAAAAATTCATTGATCTAAAAATAAATGTACGTTAGAACAAATTCAATAAGTATTTAAAAAGTGATCAGAAATAATTTTTTGTCTACAGAAAGATTAAAGAATATTTCCCTAAAATACACTTAAAACACTTACCATTTGTCTCATCACAATGATAAATTCATTTGATTAATAAATAATAAGAGATTCTTTAAACTCAAAACAACGAAAGCAAAAAAAAAAGGTACAAAGCAATTTGACTACATATTGATGAAAACATAATAGATAAGTGAATAAAGATGTATTTCACCTCTTTTGTGAGTTTCCGAAAAGCCTCTAACGTTCCTAGTTTGTCCAGTGGAAGATTCTCGCCTTGCCCAAAAATCTTGGGGAAGAATCTAAAAAGAATTGATATTTTTACTACTAACATTGCTTTACAAGTCTTCTTACTCTACATCTACACTGCAAATATTCCCTGTATAAGAGCAAATAAATGGTTAGTTGCTGTTGTTGTATACATTTAGATTAATCTTGAACTTACTCTGGAAGTATACGCCCAAGAACCAAGTTTGCATCTGTAACTGCAAGGGGACCCCCTGCAAAGAGTAATTAATTTGTTATATTATCGACATTATCAAGGGACAAAATGGTGCTATGGTAGAATCACTGAATAGTGGGTTCTGCCTTAAAGAACCTGTAGTTTGCACCCCAAAAATATCCATTTTGATGACACCATACAACAGCGACCCATGAAGTGTCTCTGATGTGTCACTAGGTGGCTGTGATTTCCTCCACGCAAGTAACTACCAGTCATAGGAACCTCAAGTTATTCTTCACAAATGGACAACTGAATGAATGAATGAATGAATGAATGAATGAATGAATGAGTGAATGGATGGATGGAGGGAGGGATGGATGGATGGATGGATGAATGAATGACCGAATGACTAACTGAATGAATGAATGAATGGATGGATGGGTGGATGGATGGATGGATGAAGGAAGGAAGGAAAGAAGGAAGGAAGGGAGGAAGAAAGAAAGGGAAAAAATAAGTCTTTCCTCGATAATAAGAAACTTCAGCTTGAATCTCAGATGTCCGTGAAAGCATGGGATTAAATGAGCACATAACATTTCTGTTAACCTGCTTTGTCAAATAAAGTTGCATGTGTGTATGAATGTAAACAAATAGCGTGTTCTGTCAAGATTGATCTGATTGACAGATGAAGGATGTTAATGTCTAATGAGAAACTCTACTTTGTGTAATAAGAATGGGATTTATAAGCACCCTTCTTGGCATTATATAAATGTAGCAAACACAGTTTATGTGTCATTTTGACAAACTATTTGGCTAAATAAATAATTCTTCACCTTTCCGATAACACACAGGTCCTGGATGGGCACCAGCTGACTCAGGTCCTACAACAAACAGCCCCGCCCTGAAAAACAGGCGTGATCCACCACCTGCTGCCACAGTGTTGATGTCCAACTGTTTGTCAGTAACAATTCTTTCAGTATAAAATTGATAGCTAAGCATATTGTTGAATAACACTCTCTAATGAATTCAAGACATATCTGTTATAGAACTAGTGTGAGGACCATAATGGGGAAAATATTGATCGAGTTTTTATTTTTTGCAATTTATGACGGAGTCGGCTCATTCCGTTAACTTCCTCAACACGGACCAGACCAGCTAGTTCAATTACGTATGTATTGACGTATGTACTGTCGTAATGGTACTCTGAGAATTCTGCTTATAAACAAATGCATAAATCCTCAGTAAGCAATGCCAAAGTTAAGCATATATTTGAATTTTTCAGCCGGCTTTTATGAAAGTGTATTGAAATTATCCTCCAGACATAAAGGAATATAAATTGCTACCAATTTTCCATAATTATAATCAATTTGATTATGATGATCATTCTCAGTAAGTCAGAATGGAAATGAAAAGTCAGAGAACAGCTAATGGTGGATACAATTACTTTTTACAATGCACATGCAGGTACATCTATTGTGTTATTTCCATTTGCCCAAGTTTGGGTTTCTTAGCAAAAGACCCAACCTCAAAGTCAATTGCACAGGATAAAGGATTTGGGCCTCCTTCTTGCTACACCAACAATGTCGACCATCCAAACAATATATTACAATCATGTACCTGAGGAGCTTGTATAGTTATTCCAGCTGTTGTTGTCTCAAAGACTTGTTCATATTGACCAGCAAAGCGAGACACATCAGTCGAAGTTCCTAATTATATGTACAAAATAGCCCTCGTCATTACATCATATCAATATATATAGTCAAGGGATAGATAGTTGGCTACCACTTTGGTCATTGGTCTTTTCATCAAAATCTGAGGAAGTCTTGAATCCTGTTGGTAAGTAACTCAAACTCTCTCCATTTACACTACATACCACCCATGTCAAATCCAATAACAGGCTGTTCCGTCTCTGCATGGTACGTTGTCATGGCATAACCAACCTGCAATCAGTGACAACTAATAAGATATTTCATGGTGATGGTGGTGATGACGATGGCAATGTTGATGATGATGATGATGGGGTAAGAGGAGGATCATGACAGTGATGGATCAGAGGTAATAACTGTGGTACTATTAATGGTGAGCATCATAATGGGAATGACGATGATTGTTACAATGATGATGACAATGACAGTGACGATGAGGGTGAGAATCATCATCATATTAATGATGATGAAAAGGATGGAGATCATTCTAATAAAGGCATTCAGCTGTCAGGTATAAAACAGGTACAAAATATTTAGATTTAAAACACCTACCACTCCTCCTGCTGGGCCAGAGAGAATGGCATGAGATCCAGAAAACCTAAAGAGAGAAATACACATCGACGGTCAGATCTCCAGAGTATACACAATGATGTGCACTGAAACACAGTCAAATCTGTTACGGATAACCACATATTACATTAAAAAACAACAAAGGTGAGTTCTCAAGCCGTTACTTTTCCCAGCAGCCCTACAAGCAAGTCTGTTGATTACTAGTACACAAAATAATCCTAAGTACCTACTTTGACACAGGTGTAAGTCCACCATTTGACTGCATGAAAAGAACTTTGTCCTATACAAATAACAGGCAAAATAGAAATTAGAACCATAGCTTCACAGCAACTGTCCACGGTAAACAAAGAATGTCATTGATTAGAATAAAACTTATATCAAATAAGAGGTCTAGTTTTGTGAAAATAAATTATTCGTGATTTCGGGGAAATATGCTGCACTATGGTCTCTGAATCATTTCGATTTGTTACAGTTAAAGATAATTATTAATTACCTCAATTCCACTCTTGAAACCAGACATGAATCCAGTTACATATCTCTTGATACATGGTGTTAAATAAGCATCAGCACAAGCTTGAACAGAACAAAAAAACTGTCTATTATATTAAACATCCTATCTCTAATAGGCCTCACAGCACCTCTGCAAGGCCTGGGCTGTGTCCAAAGATCCAGGGCATTACATTATCTGGGATGGGACAAAGTAAACTTGGTGTAACAAAAAGTTTCAGGAATCTCAGAATCATCTTCGGGGACCCAGAGCAGATAGTC